TGAGGTTAGAGGACTGAGGCTCTGGAAGGGAAAGGGAGGGGAGACTCTGAGCCCCGGGCCTCATCCTGACCCTCTGAAGGTCCTCAGAGGGGCCTCTCATCCCCCTGAGAACAGCCTCTGTGCCAAAGTTCCCTCCTTACCCCATTTCAAGACTCGGGGTTCCAGCAGCCCCTCATGCTGCACATGGCATGTGTATCTCTGCTCCTCTCCAGAAGGCACCACCACAGCTGCCCACTTCTGGAAGGTTCCGTCCCCCCCAGGCCTGGTCTCCACCAGCTCCGTGTCCTGGGTCAGGTCCTCTCCATCTCGCTGCCAGGTCAGGGTGATCTCAGCAGGGTAGAAGTCCAGGGCCCAGCACCTCAGGGTGGCCTCATGGTCCAAGCTGGGGTGGTGCGTCATGTGTGTCTTTGGGGGATCTGAGGAGAAGGGCATGAACATTCACACGTTGGGGCTTTCCCTCATGGACTCTGGAAAAGCCTCCTGTGACCATCCTCAGAATGGACAGGGCAGTGGGTTTGGATAGAGGAAGCACAAAGTCTAGAAACCAGCCTGGTCTGGGGAGACTGGGGTCATCTCTTATTGCTTAGAAAGTTCTGAGATTAGGGTGAAAGCTGTGGATAGGAGGACGCAGGTCTCTGAGGAGGAGAGCACAAGTTTTGCTCCTGACCTGGGGAAAAGGTTGAGGTGCAGCACTAGGAAGCCAGCGCAGCTGCTTCTGCAGGACTTGGATCTTGCCTGGATGTGACTCCCATGGCACAGCAGTGGTCTCCTGACCAACCTCCACCCCCACCCCCGCTGCTCCCCTCAGCAGTGTATTTCAGGACATCGGCCTGTTCTGCTCCCCACTCTGTCTCTGGTGAATCTGCTTACTCACAGCACCTCTGGCCTGCACCCCAGTTCTTGTGCACACAAATAAATCATTTTAAAAAAGGAAAAGAAAAGCACGAGTCAGGTCAGAAAAACGTGCTCGACTAAAAAGACCTTGAGAGAGAAACTGAGGTTCCCGGAGATGGCTGCCAGTCAAAAGGGTCAGGTGCAGGTGAACTCAGGGCTGGTCTCCCCTCAGGTCAGGAGAGCCTGGACTCCTTAGCTGTTCTGAGGAAAAGCAGGGTCCTCTGGGCCAGTCAGGAAACCCAGGGGGGTCCTCCTTCGCTTATCAGAGGGGGCGCTGCTGTGACCCTGACTCCACTCTCCCCACGGGGAGATGAGGAGACCCCGCGGCCCCTCTCACCTGTTCGCTGCAGCGTCTCC